CAACAACAGCCGCGGGCAGCGCTTGAGCAGCGCTGCATCAGCAAATATATTTATGGCTATAACTTCTTGTTAAATCGGTCTATCATACGGCATACGGACAAATAATAACCAACTGGGGGTATTTCCAAAATTTTAGTTCGAAATTCCAAGAATTACGGGAGTTACGATTTGCGGGGTAAAGGGGGGAGGGAAGGGAATTCCAAAATATACATTTTCTGCGTATTCACATAAGGCATCTGGGACTAAAATTTTGTGTTCCTAGGTCTTATAGTCTCCGAGATATAGGCGATTATACGAATGGAAAATCGGGAAAACCCCCATAGGGGGGAAGTGGGGGGGAAAATCAAAAAAATAAAACAAACTCGTATAGAATACACACATAACGCATCTTTGTGCAAAATTTGGTGTCTCTATCTCTTATAGTCTCTGAGATCCAGGTGTTCATACGGACGGACAGACGGACAGACAGGGCTAGATCGACTCGTCTCGTCATGCTGATCAAGAATATATATACTTTGTGGGGTCTGCCACGCCTCCTTCTGCCTGTTACATTTTTCAGCTCCCGCAAACCTAATATACTCTTGTACATTTCATGTACAGAGTATAAAAAGAGCGAACGTACTACCGCTGGCGCGAACGAAAGCTTTTAACATAGCGTCAGTGAAAGGCGCCAATTTCTTCCTTTTGTTGACGTTTGCTGCTGCTATTTCACTTTCACCTTGTACCTGTTAAAGGCTACTGTTTAGCTTGACCAACAGATGGCGAGTCATTAAATTTTAAAAATAATTAAATTTAACGTACAGGCTACAAGTCACGCTACAAACACCCGCTCACCAAAATCAGACTTGGGGAATAAAGCGGGCTTAATGCACACAAGACTGATCTGACTTGTAGCTTTTTGAAAATGCAATGGCTCTATATTCTAATAGCTCTAGCGATTTCAACAACTTATAAGTGGCTCCAGAAGTCACCATATGCTGCCCAAATACCATATAATAAGGACTCGTATTTAATGCAGCATGTACTGCAGAACGCAAAGCACAAGAAATTCTGCATACATTTTCGTCCCAATCTCGCTGATCAGGCCGTATGTATGAACGAATTGCTGCAATCACTGACCGATTAACTCGTTCAGAAGCAGTTGCTTGCGGTGAATGTACGGCTGTGAACATCTGGAAAATTTTGTGTTCTTGCAACAAATTCCGAAAAGCAATAGATTTAAATTGGGACCCATTATCTGACACAATATATTCTGGTACCCCAAAAGTGTGGAACAGCTCATTTTGCAAATACTTGATCACCAGCTCAGCATTCAGTTTTTTAACTGCTTTGAGGAAAACGAATTTTGAGAAGTGATCCAGCACAAGATTTTTTGACATTTTGGGCAAGCAGGCTTGTAAGTGTTTTTAGTGCCCCAATCGTAGCAGAATACTTTACGTTTGGCTACACAATCTTGGTAACGATGCCCTTCTCTGCGACAATACCAGCAGATAAGGGACATTGCCCCTATTTCTACGTTGCCATCAGAATCGGGCTCTGAGAAAATATCAGAATTATTCTCTTCAAATACCTCAGCCACATTTCTTTTTAATGAAGTGGATTTTTGATATCCATGTACACGTCTGGCTTCGTCCAAGAAACATTCTCGCTTTCGACAAACTTCCCTCAACTTAGAAACTGACCTGGTTTCTATATTAAGGATTTCATGTTGTACCTCTGGCCGTAGATTGCGCCTTAAAATTTCAACTAATGTGGTTTCGTCCAAAGCTTGTTCCAAACGGTCAACTAGCTGGACTACTGCGTCATAAAAACCATCAAAGTTATCTTTTTCTCTTTGCTTTCTATTGCGAATTAGTTCCCTAATGTCCACATCAGAGCGCGTGTCTCGAAATTGCTTTCTGAGTGCCATGCATAATGAGTTCCATCGCACTGCTTGCTCTGATTTATGGAATCTCCAATAAAAATCATTAGCTTTTCCCTCAATCAAAAGACTAGCGTTATCGCACAACAAAGCGAAATTTCCACCAACGTTTGGTGAGTAAGCGCTTCGACCCGGTAGATAAAATTATCGACGCTTAATCCTTCTGTACCCCCGCTAAAACGAAGCTTCCAATTATTTATTATGTAACCAATCTTTTCCGGCCTATTTTCTAAATATGAGCCATTATTGCTGACGGATCGCCCTGTTGAAACATAATTAGTTTCAGTTGTACCTGGGGCCAATCTCAATAGCTGATCAGGCGAACGTGAACTATTGGTTGCATTTTGCGAGCGTGATTGCTGAGTAACACTGTTGTGTCGACTCAAATGTGAGGAAACGCTAGTTTAAACTGCCGCTGCCAACCTTTCGGTCCATTGAAGAAGCAAGTCGTTTTGCATAACTTGTAGGGAATGGCTAATAAAAGAACTTAGTTCCATAGTAATGCCAGATGGAGTACCTTCTCGATTTGTACCAGAATTTGAAGCTACACTAGATGGTCTGGGGATTTCCGATTGGATTGCAGTATTTTCAGTTGCTTTAGTTTGATTTCGAGTTTGTTGACGTGTTGAGGGGCCAGGAGGATCTAGACAAATGGCTTTGCAAACCGGACATGTATTGTCGCTACGAAAATCTGTCTTTATGCAAAGTTTATGAACTGTATGTCCACATTTAGTTTTACAACCGTAATTTCCGCATTACACAAAAGTTTTGTGACAAAACACAATTTAAATTCTGTGCGGCTTGCTCTTCTGACCGATTTAGCCCAATTTTGTTTGTACTTTTATTAACTTTAGATTAATAGCCGAAAATGTTTACGTTGACACAAACAAATTTACGCTCAATCCCTACCAATAATAAGGCAGCTGAATTGAAAACGCAAAACAACAAAATGTGCAGAATGTGCAGATGTGGTTTTAGCTATTAGTAATTAAATAAATTGTACTAAACAGCAACAATTTTAGACAAATAAATATCAGTAAAATTTATGCGATTTGACCTAGTGTTTCGGTCAACAGTAACTTTCAAAAGTGTACGCATTGAACACTTTATAAGAGAACAGTAAATAATTAAATTAATTTCAAATAATTTCTTCGCAATTTTTAAACAAGGTACATAAATATGTAATTTGATTTCACACTTCTCCCTAGCCTTAACAAGGTTTATTTCCTAGTGTGTGCCATAAGTATGTATAGATGAAATAATGTAGACATTACGTAAGCCGTAAGTTTACAGCCGTAACTGCTTATGGTTTTGAACGATTTATACAAGCTTATTAAACGTGGTCAGTAGCAGATAAAAACAAGAAAGGAATGCTAAAGTCGAGCAGGCTCAACTCTTAAATACCCTGTACCACCCCACAAAAAAGTAATTAAATTAATTAATTAAATTTAATTAATTAACCAAATTAATTTAATTAATTAACTAAATTAATTTAATTAATTAACTAAATTAAATATAAAATATTCCATGCATTCATACATACATTTACATCAGAATCGTGCCTTATGCGTGTTTGTGTTCTTGTACATATGTATGTATGTGTACATATGTATATATATACTTTGTGGGGTCTACCAAGCCTCCTTCTGTGTGTTCCATGTGCACTCGCACAAAACTAATATACCCTTGTACCCTTTGGGTACAGGGTATAAAAATAAAACAAAATTGCACAGCGTACACACATAACGCATCTTTTTGCACAGTTTGGTGTCTCTACCTCTTATAGTCTGTGAGATCCAGGTGTTCATACGGACAGACAGACAGACAGGGCTAGATCGACTCGTCTCGTCATTCTGATCAAGAATGTATACCCTTTGTGGGGTCTGCCACGCCTCCTTCTGCCTGTTACATTTTCAGCTCCCGCAAGCTTAATATACTCTTGTACATTTTATGTAGAGTATAAAAAACAAGAAAGGAATCCTAAAGTCAAGCAGGCTCAACTCTTATTTACCCTGTACCACACCACAAAAAAAAATTTACTAAAAAAATTTAATTTTAAATTAAATTTATTAAATTAAATATAAAATATTCCATACATACATTTACATCAGAATCGTGTCTATGCGTGTTTGTGTATTTATATATATGTATGTTTGCATTATAAATTTTTTGTAAGCAGCAACAAATACAGCTGCGGACAGAGCTTGGACTTGGTTATATGGCTATAACTTTTCTATAAAAGGTTTTGTTTTTCTTGAGCAGAGAAGCGCTGCTTGTTTGGTGTGTAGCGCTTGCTTAAGTTATTTGTGCAGCCCTGTTTATACCCTGTACCCAAAGGGGAGAAGGGTATACTTGAATTAGTTTTGTGCGAGTGTACATGTAACACACAGAAGAAGGCGTGGCAGACCCCACAAAGTATATATATTCTTAATCAGGATGACAAGCCGAGTCGATATAGCCATGTCCGTCTGTATGAAAGTACGGATCAAGAGCAAGAATAGCCAAACTTGGTATCCAGATTCACCTAAGTCCGCGAAAGGACGAGTTTGTGTTTTTTTTCTGATACACCCCCACTGCCCCGCAATTTGTGCTTTTTTCATAACTCCCGTAATTTTGGAATATAGCGCTCAGATTTGGCAAGTCCCTCCAATATTAGGATAGGTTAATTATGACGAAAGTTATAGCCATAAATATTTTCTCTGCCGAAGCTCTACCCACAGCTGTCTTCTATGTATGTATATATTTTATTTAATTAAATTAATTGATTTAATATTTTTTAAATGATTTAATTTTTTTTAATTTTCGCTTTTTGTGGAGAGTACAGGGTACTTTACTGTCGGGCTTGCTCGACTGTAGCGTTCTCTCTTGTTTTTACTCGACCTTTTTTGGCACCAATCTACCATTTAAAAGCAGAATTAGGTATACATATAATGTTCGCATAAATGTTTTGAAAAATAATATTTAAAAAAAATTACCATTTTTTGTATTGTTTTTTTTTAAATTATGTATTTCATTTATTTTTGTTTGGCATACAGTTGCGGTAATATAGAAATTCAGAAATCATATCTATGTAGTGAGAAGTGTTTAATGGCTTTTTATTTTGAATTTTGGAAAACTTGGTTGTTTTCCTTATTTTGCAATCAATAACAATTTAAAGCACTTATGCGAAAGCATAAAAAGCATATACTACACATTCTTGTTGGTTTAAGTATGTATTTAAAAATGTACGTATGTATAACTTATTCTTGTTTGAATTTCCATAGAATTAATAAGGCGCAAGTAGCTCGTACTGCACAAATATGCAGCATGTATAGTATGTATTGTATGTACATATATGTGATGTGTAATCTTATTTTTCACTAAGTTAGTGCTGCTTTCATTATTGCAAATTTAATTTAACACCACGGGTGTTAAGTTACTGCTCTTATTTGATCTTCTTGAACAAAAAATAATAGTAATAATTAAATAATAATATAGAGAAGATACTAAAATGAATAAAACAGTTATAACAAGAAAAGCCTATTGACAAAAACACAATATTGGCCGCTTAGAAGCAATGTTATATACATATGTATGTGTGTACATACATATGGAAAATAACACAATATTGTGTGCACATTTGTATAAACAAATACATTTGTACATATATATGTACATACACACATATGTATATATACTACATTAAGTGTGCATGTAGTGGTTGTAATTGCAAATTTTAAAACAAGTAAATTAACGAGTATATTAATCATTCGAATGCCATTTATAATTTGGAAGCCATTTGGTTATCACGTACTGTGATTCAGGCATATGAAATTTCACACTACATACATATATACATATAGTATATGTATGTAAGTGCATTTTGCTTATTGCGATTACAATGTTAAAATGGGTAGAGAGCTATCCGTTTACTAACACATACATACTACATATACATACATATGCCATAACAATAAAACTCTTTGCCTCTTCGGCTCCAATGCTCTTTCCGCTACTCTTTCTGCTTAATGCTCCTAATTCATCATACTGCTCGCCACTTTTTAAAATCACAATCAACGCTTTTCGTCAACACTTACAACACTAGAACATTATCATTTGCATTACCTCATTAACTCTCATCGTCTACATCATCTTCAAGATACATCTCATAATTAATATTCTCGTTTAAAGCGCATGTAGGGCAATGCCCCAATTTTAACACCTGTTTGTTGCTTATTAACGTAATTACATAATTGGTATTTCATTGGGTAACATCACTGCTGGTTACATATACGTACATATTATGCATAACATATTTGTAATATTATTATTATTGTTATTTTGCTGTAGCAGCTCTTAGTTTTCTCTTTAAGACTTACATACTCGTACATAAATGAATTATGCTTGGATGGGCTGGCTTAGTAATTAAAGCGAGTCGATACAAATTAAAATTATAAAAACTGTAATATTTAAAGAAAGAAAGCGCGCTTTCTTGTGTTTTAGACGTTTAAGATTAGAAAGTGCATGTGAGGGTGTGAATATTGCAGATGTGGATGAGGTTGTCTGTATCTGTGTCTGTGTACATGACCCAATAAATTGCGTGTACGTACATATATGTATATATGACATGAATGTAAAATGTGTCGAAAGTCAATATTAACAGCGATGCAACCGTAGCTTGTGCTATTACAGTTAATAATACCATCCTCACTGTTGCTGTTGCAGTCGGGTCGCAGTCAGAGTCGAAGTAGAAATCGAAGTATCTGTCAACGTTCACTGTACTGTTCACATTAGATTCTCATATGTTCAAAGTTAAAAGTTCATTTGTCATGTTTTGCGCGGTGGTGTCGGTGGTGGCGGCAGCGCAGGTGAGATATATGCATGCGGCTGTCTCGCACTAATCATGTCTTTGGGAATGTTTTTGTATTTTGCTGAAAGATTATGGGACTGGTGAACAACTTCAGTAAACCCGGCCTGCTGGAGACCTGCTTACCTGCGGCGGCGTGCTGCGCTTGCGGCAACGGCTGAGACTGCACTTGCGCTTGCGTCTGTGACGCAGCGCCGCCTGTATTTAGATCATTACAATGCTGCTGCTGCAACTGCTGCTTCACCAATAACGAGTCACTGTAATAGTTGGACTTGCGCATGTTGTTCCTACTACTAATAGTATTGCTCGACGCGACATTGTTGCTGCTATTGCAATTACTGTTGCTGGTGGATGGCAACGGCGGTTGTATTTTCGTGGCATGTTTGTTTCCCACTGACAAAACAGGCGTCGACTGCTGCTGCTCGCTGTTGCAAGGAGTGGTTGCTGCCGCTTGTGCCGCTTGTGCTGCTGTCGCTGTTGGTGTTGTTGGTTTACTTGCTACCAAACTTAAACTAGAAATTGCTGGTGGTATTGGAGATCTTTGTGAATCGTTGCCAATTTCGCCTGCATACCTATAAATGCATGAACAGTTTTAGTGGATACTTTCTACCTTCTGTTCTGTACTTACTTAATATTTGTGTACTCGTGACCAACCTGCAGGCTCTGCTCCTCGGCACGCTTGCACGCGATCAGCGTTTGAATGTAGTGCTGTACTGCATAATAGACGAACTTATACTGCGCCTCTGTCTGCACGAGGCCCGAACGTTGCGAACGCACCATTTGAATTGTGCGTTGGATATCTATCTCGGTGTCCAATCCTGTAGCGTTAAGTGTTGGTTATGTGTATCCGTATGCGCTGGGAAAATGTATAAGTACTTACCATGTCGAACTATCTGGTCCAGTATCATGTCGATCACGATAAATGTACCAGTGCGTCCAATCCCTGCCGAGCAGTGCACACAAATGGGACCCTTAATTGGATAGATATAAGGGGAACATTACGTTTTCAAATTGCATGACCTGATTGAAAATTTAGGACTATTTGAATTGATACATGCTAGCATTTTACCCATAGATAAAAGAGCGACTATGCAGGTCGTAATAATGCTCAATAACGAATGCATTGAGCAGCTGAACGCGACGGAAGGTCGAGTCAACTACGGCTTTGATAATATCAAACTCAATGTTTACAAAACAGATACCGGAGCATTGACCAGTGTGACCGATAACCTAAACACCATAGAGCCACCCAGTGAAGACGTGATGGACAACAACCTGTATTTTAGCGAAAAAACAACTTAACGCTATTCTACTTCCCCAATTTAGCGATGGCGACCTCACGACGATCGGTCTATGACTAGGGAACCAAACTGGGGAGACTACTGCGATAAGGTGATAAGCATCCTACTATCTGGGGCACGACCACCAAGGTGACCCCCCCCCTCTAAGCTGCTAAGAGCCCTAGTCGGCAATAGCAGCAGAAGAAAAATAGGCAAGATCCTGGGAGGAGATGCCAATGCTCACCATACCCAATGGGGAGCAGTGATATTAACGAAAGAGGTGAGTCAGTATACGACTACATTTGTAACATAGGGAACTACCCCACCTTTGTCACTAAGAATCGTAGGGAGGTGTTAGACGTCACACTAGCGTCTGACTGCCTTGCTCACAGGGTTCTTGCCTGGAGGGTCCTAGATGAACCCTCATTCTCGGACCATAGACTCATCCAATTCAGGCTAGGGTATCAAGTCCCAGCCGTTATCAAAAGAAAAAACCAGAGGAAGACCAATTGGGGGTATTATCTCAGATTGATTACCAAAAATCTACCCTCCCTGCATAACTCTGAACCCACTACGGGGGACGAGCTGGACAGGCTTGTAGACATCTTCACCAGAACGTGCTCAGACTCGCTTAATAAAGCCTGTCCGACCACGGTCTACAAAACCAAACGCAAACCACCTTGGTGGTCCACTGAGTTAGACAACCTTCGAGTTGAGTGCAGGAGGCAATTTAACGAAGCCAGGAGAAGCAACACAGAACCCAGCTGGGAATTATACAAGCGCAAACTCGCTACTTTCAAGTTGGCCATTAGAAAAGCCAAACGCGCCTCTTGGGCCAACTTCTGCACGAACATTGAGTCCACATCCGCAGCTTCAAGACTGCGGAAGGTGCTGGCCAAGTCTTCCTCTCCGCCATCCCTTTTGCAAAGGGTTGACGGCAGTTGGACAGACTCCGCCAGAGACTCGCTCGATCTTCTCATAAATACGCATTTTCCGGGTTGTACTGATGTTATCAACACAATCCCTACTCCTAGAACAGAGGAGATACCTAGGCATATGATAGACGCTATCGTCACTGAACAGCGCATATGGGCTATAAAAACATTCAAGCCCTATAAATCTCCTGGGCCAGACGGCATCGTCCCGGCCCAACTCCAACACTCCCTGACGCACATCATGCCGTGGCTACTGACAATGCTCAGAAGCTGCCTAGGAATTAACCACATTCCAGCCAGCTGGAAAGAAGTTAGAGTGGTGTTCATCCCCAAAGTGGGAAAGGCATCACACGTCTAACCTAAAGATTTCAGGCCTAACAGCCTATCGTCTTTCCTATTAAAAACTCTGGAGAGACTTATAGAAATATACCTTAGACAGACAATCAATCCGGTTCTAATGTCGAATTCGCAGCACGCATACAGCAAAGGCAGGTCCACTGATACGGCCCTCCACTCTCTGGTCTCTAAAATAGAGAACTCACTTTCGGCTAGGGAGTATGCACTAGTAACCTTTCTGGACATCGAGGGCGCCTTCAACAATATACTACCCTCGGCAATCACCCAATCCATGGCGGATCTTGGGGTGGACGTCTTCCTAATCGACTTCATCAGCCAGCTGCTCACTAGCAGGGCTGTGAATGCCGAACTGGGTGGACAGTCCTGCAGAAAGTTTGTAAGCAGGGGCACTCCACAGGGTGGAGTCCTCTCCCCACTATTATGGTTGCTAACAGTCAATCAGTTGCTTCGGCGTATGGAGGCGGAAGGCCATACGGTCATAGCCTATGCCGATGATGTGGCCATAATATGCAACGGTAAATACCCGCAAACACTGTGTTACCTAATGAAGGCGGCACTATCGACGCTCTCGCAATGGGCGTCCCCTTATGGTCTGGGAGTAAATCCCACAAACACGGAGCTAGTACTCTTCACTAGAAAGTACAAGATACCGGAACTTGAGGCACCCACTCTAAAGGGGGTCCCCCTAAAATTCAGTCGTAGTGCTAAGTATCTGGGAGTCATCCTGGATAGCAAATTGCACTGGAACGACAACATAACAGAGCGAGTGAAGAAAGCTACGAATGCACTTTACACTTGCAAGAGAGCCATAAGCACCAGTTGGGGGTTCTCACCACGCATAGTGCATTGGATTTACACGGCCATCATCCGACCGATTCTGCTCTAGCCTGCGCTAAATAAATCAACCGCCCTCACCCTACTCAGAAGGGTGCAGAGATCGGCGGAAGTGAGCATCAGCGGGGGCCCTTAATATATTTCTTAATCTTCTCCCATTGGACATCGCAGGGAAAGAACTAGCCACGAACTCGGCCCTACGGCTGAGAGAAACCTCTGCTTGGAAGAGCTCAACAAGAGGACATGCCAGCATACTCCGTCTGCACCTGGAACACCTACACGGACTACTGCATACCCAAACTTATTTTTGAAAAAGAATACGTAGTCAAAATTCCCACTCGGACAGATTGGGAAACCCTCCCACACAGGAGAGACAACGCCATCAACTTCTACACGGATGGCTCCAAGCTAGATCAGAGAGTAGGTGGAGGCGTCTACTCTCCGGACTTGGACATGCGGAAGTCGCTGCAATACATGAGGTCACAAGGCACCTAGCACCCAGTATGACAGGTGGCAGGCCGATATTCATATACTCTGACAGCCAAGCGGCCCTTAAGGCGTTGGAATCCAATGTGGACAACTCCCAAGTCATCACTGACTGCCGCAAATCTCTCAATGAGATGGCCCAGCAAGTCAGTATCACCCTCACATGGGTGCCAGGGCACCGGGACATCGAGGGAAATTGCATTGCAGATGAGCTGGCAAGGAAGGGAACTACCGCATGCATCCCTTCAGACAGGGAAGGAACGGGCATGCCGTTAGCCTCCTTCCGGCTTCTGACACGCAACCATGCGCGGTCTATGGCACAGCAACGCTGGGAGAAGACCAACACATGTGTTCGAGCAAAGCTCATCTGGCCAGTCCTTGACGCAAGAAGGACGTACAAGCTTGTAAAACTGAGGCGAACGGATATCTCATTGGTAGTGGGGGCGCTCACGGGTCATTGCCCAATTGGCAGGCACTCTGCGAGACTGGGAATCCCATATAATGACTTCTGCAGAAGCTGCAGAGACGAAGAGGAGGAAGAGAGCGTAGAGCTCCTCCTCTGCTATTGCCCGGCACTAAGCAGGCGTAGACTACTTACCCTAGGGAAACCCTTTCTAAACGATCTCTCTGAAGCAACCAACATGGAATTCGTGAGCCTAATTACATTCCTAAAGACCACCGGGTGGCTAAGGGTAGACTAAGAAAGATTATATGGCATCACAATGGGCCTTATAGGCCTAAGTGGGAGGGTGAGCGCTATCACCCCGGCCATTGCAACCTAACCTCACCTACATAGATTTTGCTTCTCAATCAATTCATTTCGTAAGAGTCACTAATATGTATTTATGATATATGCTTTGATGATTGTGCAGCTCTTTAACCTGAAGTTGAGCCCAAGTTTAATTCCATAGTATACCTGACTTACCGGCTTCTCTCCCGCTTGAGCCAAGTTGCTCTGCCTCGTGTTAACATCCTGCAAAAAGTTCAACACGCAACCTGGGTCGGCAGGCACTCCGTGATCAGGCCACACTTGGAAATGATAGTGGTAGATACGACGCTCGGGCTTATCTCGCCATGAGAACAGGAACTCGCGCAGTGTATAGTCGTTGGTTGAGTTCTCGGACGTGCACTGGATACGGGCTGGCCCAAACTGCTTACACTGACCTTCATCTGGCCAGTACTTGGCGCACTTGTTCTTACCGCGCTCCATCTCCTTGGTGGTCATCACAATGACGCGTGTATTCTCTTGGTAGATCATGTTCCAGAAATCAGTCACCGTGTTGGTCAAACAGCCCTGGGTTGCAATATACATTTTAAACATATCGCGCTCGGTACCAGGTTGGGCAGCTGATGTGAGTGTAGTCGAGCAAGGCGGCGGCGTAGTCGCTGCAGCTGCCATCGCCGCGTCGCTACTATGTTTTTTTGGTAGCCCACCCAAGGTGCTCCGACAACCATTGGAGCCACTACCAGCCACAGACACCGCAGATATAGGCGTGCCCAGACTAGCGGCCCCACCATTCATCGACAGTGATTCACTGCGTTTGTGCTTGCCTAACGAGTCGGACTTGCGGTTGCAGGTGGCACAGTTACTATAAGGCAGCGTCGCCGATTTTACTGCACATTGGACGCATGTCTTGTTTAGCTGCTGGCAGTTGGGGCAGTTCTTTTGAGTTTGTGCCGCCGTGCAAGCTGGGCATGACGGCACCGAGCTATTAAGGCTCTCCGACGAGCTGCTTATGCTATACTGGTCACTGTCGGTGGGATGACGTATATAGTTGGCATTGATGTATTCGGCGCCAGGTGTGTTCCGGTCCGTATCTTGCAGCTTGACACGCGTATGATCATCTGAAAGACAAAAGGTTAGGATTAGCAATTTACAGAATTGTTAGGTTAGTGTTTGCTAGAACTCACAGGGCAAAATGTTGCGATAACGGTTCTTAAGGCGGTTCTCCTGCTTGTAACCCTCCTTACGTGAGAATATGTCCCTGCTGTCCTGTTGCAGAGACTCAAACTCCTCCCAGAAGCCTTCCTGCAAGAGATCTAAGGCATTAGTCACTCCATGATATGTGTTGTCGATGGATTTTGTGGACTTACCTTCATCAGCTGCTCGACACGCGCATGAATACCTGCGGCAGTAATTCGTGTCGCGTTAAATGGTTGTCGTAAATGCACAACTGTTCCACAGGTCTCCACCATGGGATTGCGCTTGTAGTGGTCGATTAGCTCCGATAGGGTTGCAAATGATTCACCGCCGCCAACGTCGTACTTTTTATCCTGCACAGGTTTTCCATGAAACAGATCATGAGGTTTCGTGATTAATATGAGTTAAAAATTGTTCGAGTAGGGCGAGGCAAGGCAACTTAATTCTTCTTGGACCAAACCATTTTTCTAGTAGTCCCTCATGCGCATATATACATGCATATGTATATGTATTTACCTTTGTATGTATGCGCACGTTTGATGTGCGTTTGACGCGACACGACTAAATGTTGAGAATTACCCTAACCGAATGCGGTATAAAATGAAAGCTATTCTCATATTTTTTTGGATTTGACTATCATTTTTCATTAGTAATATGTACTTTTATAATCAACAAATGTTTGTAGTACATTGAACGCAAGTAAAATATTTATATACGTACAATACAAACATACATATGTATATGCATATTTATGTATTAAGTAGCAAAAAGGTAACAGCGCAACTCCCGTTTGAGCTCACCTGCCATCTAATCATGACATGCGTCACTTTGTCATCTGTACGAACCGAGAGCACAAAATCCCCAGGTTTACTTTGAGATTCACGCACAAGAAATGAGCCAGTCTTTCCACGCTCCAATATCAATTTCTCAGCATCTTTGCCGGAAAGATTACCATGAAACCATCTGCAAAATGAACAAAAAGGAAATTAACAAATATAGAAGTACTATGTTCTATAGCTATGTATGGGGCAGTGAATACCCATTTACTTTTCTATACATACTATGTATAGATTGAATGTATGAAATAGTACCCGATGTAAAAATTCTAAAAATAAAAAAAACAAGTAGAGAAGCTAAAGTCGGGTGTCCCGACTTTGAAATACTCTGTGTACTCAATGTGTAGAATAATTATGCGTGTATGTGTGTCTGTGTATGTCTCGTGTGCCTGTGCAAAGCACTAACGACACAAACAGCTGCGGGCACTGATTGGTCATATATACACATATGGCTATTACTTCCTGTTTAATAGGCCTATCATTATGAAACTTGGCATACGGACTCATAATCACTAACTGGAGGTATTTTTAGAATTTCAATATTATATAATATATTATATATTATATATTATATAATATAATATAAATATTATAGACAATCACTAATTGCGTTGGAGAGGGGGAGGGAGGGAAATTCCAAAATACACATTTTCTGCGTATTCACAAAAGGCATCTGGGACTACAATTTTGTGGCCCTAGCTCTTATACTGTCTGAGATATAGACCATTATACGAATGGCAAATCGGGAAAACCCCCATAGGGGTAAGTGGGGGAGAATGAAAAAATAAAACAAACTTGCACAGCGTACATATCTTCAGGAGCAAGATTTTGTGTCTCTAGCACTTATAATCTCTGAGATCCAGGTGTTCATACGGACAAATAGACAGATGGATAGATCGACTCGTCTTGTTATGCTGATCAAGAATATATACACTTTGTGGGGTTCACCTGCCGCAAACCTAATATACTCTTGTACATTTCATGTACAGTGTATAAAAATGCACAGCTGCTGCCGCCTGAGCCGAGAAACTTTAATACGTGCGCGCTCAAAATGCAATTATAAACTATATATATATATGTACATATTTATATAAATATGTACATACTGTGTATGTATTTGTATGTACGAGTATATGAGCTGCTAGCAACAACGATTTCAAAGCTGCGATGCCGACTACGTTCATGACGGGCAGTAAAAGCATTGCGTCACAGTAAAAATCGAAAATCATAACAAAAATGCCCGATTTTAAATACCCTGTACATATGTATGTGTAAAATAATTATAAAAATAAAATAAAAATGAAAAAACGTGTGTTAAGGCACAGTAACATACGAATTGCGTCTATACGTGTCTACGAATGTCTGTGTGTATCTCGTGTGCCTGTTAAAAGCACCAATAACAACAGCTGCTGGCAGTGCTTGTTGTCAATATAAGTATATGAATATACTAACAGGTATTGCCCGTCTTAACCCGGTTTAATATAATGTTTCAAACTGTATTTATTTGGTGTGTGCATGACCTACCCATATGTTTTCACCTCATTAGTTACCAGTAGGAAGGCATTTAAGGTATTTAAATGAACATTTTTTGTTCTTGACAAACAATTTTACAGTAGTCCGCTACATTTTTTTTCTTGCCAAAATATTTCGTTAAACGTACTCATACATATGTATGAAGATATTTATTGACTTTGCATTGTGTTATTGTCCTTAAGCCGGTTTGATTGCTGGAGTAGGAATACTATTGTAGATATAATATAATAAACCCCATTAGATGAAAGTACATATAACGTACACATTGAATGTATGTATGTAAGTATTTTGGGGTCATAAGTATTATATACATAGAATTGTAACATGCATGTACTACGTACATATTATGCTTTTTAAATATTGCTGAATAATTGATCTTCCGTGAGTGAATGTGTGTGTGCGTGAATGTACATATGTAGGCACATAGTCACATTATATATAAACAATTAAGTTTATATTCGAGTGGTGTATAGCATGCTCTTCAATGTTTATTGTCAGTTTAGCCAACAACCTGTTACAAGCTCAAGGTGGTAGAGTACACGTCTGCCATTATGATAAGAGCACGCGAAACACAAGATATTTTTAGTCAACAAGTCGGCGGAAGTAACATAGTTTAGTTTGCAAATCTACATACTAAGTTAGTATGTGCGTACTTGTACGAGTATACTCAAGTATATTTATGCAACACATCCGAATAAGCTTCCCACGTATGTGTAGCTGCGAAAACTAATAAACATACAACACAGTGTGTACATAGTAAAAATCCGGTATATTGATTTTGAAAACAAATACCTATGTTTTCATGTATTAACTTTTCGGCTGCTAGGCTACCAACAACACTAATTATATCCACCTAACTTCACAATTTATGATATTTATTAATTTGAATATTATTTTAAACAAGTAAAAAAGCTAAAGTCGGGTGTCCCGACTTTGAAATACTCTGTACATATGTTTACAATAATTATAGAAAATAAAAAAAATTAAGAAAATTAAAAAAAAAAATTTGATCGATTTTACCTTTCTCGGTATTCGAACTCACGAAAATGGTGTATAATCGCACATTTACATAGCAATTGCGTCTGTGTGAGTGTATGTATGCCTATGCGCATCAATTCGTGTCTGTCTAAACATGTGTGCAGTCAACCAAAGCACCAGCATCAACAGTCGCGGGCAGCGCTTGAGCAGCGCTGCAGCAGCAAATATACATAAAATGTACAAGAGTACATTAGGATTGCGGGAAGTGAAAAATGTAACAGGCAGAAGGAAGCGTGGCAGACCCCACAAAGTATATATATTCTTGATCAGCGTGACAAGACGAGTCGATACAGCCCTGTCTGTCTGTCCGTCCGTATGAACACCTGGATCTCAGAGACTATAAGAACTAGACACCAAATTTTGCACAAAATGCCTTATGTGTGTACGCTATACGAGTTTGTTTTATTTTTTGGATTTTCCCCCTCACTTCCCCCCTATGGGGGTTTTCCCGATTTTCCATTCGTATAATCGCCTATATCTCGGAGACTATAAGACCTAGGGATATCAAATTTAAAGTCCAAGATGCCTTAGGTGAATACGCAGAAAATTTATATTTTGGAATTTCCGTCCCTTCCCCCTCTCCCAGGCAAATCGTAACTCCCGTAATTCTTGGAATTTTGAACTAAAACCGCGGCTGTTGTTGATGTTGCTGTTTGGTTGACTGCTAACATGTTTACACAGACACGAATAAACTCGCATAGACGCAATTGCTTTGTATATGTGCAATTATACTATACACCATTTACGTGAGTTCGAATACCAAAAGAGGTAAAATTGATCAAAAATTTTGTTTTTAATTTCTTGGTTTTTTTATTTTCTATAATTATTGTACAGAGTATGTCAAAGTCGGGACACCCGACTTAAGCTTTTTATATCCTGTACCCAAAGGGTGAAAGGCTATACTAGTTTTGTGCGAATGTATGTAACACACAGAAGGAGGCATGTCAGACCCCACAAAGTATATATATTCTTGATCAGAGTGACAAGCCGAGTCGATATAGCCATGTCCGTCCGTCCGTCTGTCCGTCCGTCTGTATGAGCGCAAGGATCTCAGAAGGTACAAGAGCTAGAATAACCAAACTCGGTATCCAGATTCCCATAAGCCCTAGGCAGGTCAAGTTTATTTTTTATTCCGATACACCCCTCCACTCCCCCGCAATTCGTGTTGTTTTTATAACATCCGAAATTTTGGAATTTTGAAATCAATTTTGGTAGTTACATCCAGTTAGTGTTATATGTCCGTGTTCCAAATTTTTATGATAGGTCAATTCTGAATAAAGTTATAGCCATAAATAAAATCGCTGCTCATGCAGCCTGCAGCTCTGCTGGCAGCGTTGCCCGCAGCTGTTGTAGTTGTTGTATCTGCTTTGGTTCAACTTTGTGCTGCATACATACACGCATATTAACACGCAGAGACAAGATTCTGATGTAAATGTATGAAATGTATGTTGAAACTGTACAGGAACATGTCTTTAATTTAATTAATATACTTTATTTATTATTTTAAAACAAATTTTTTTATTTTTTCCTTTTTGGTGGGAGGTACAGGATATTTAACACTTAAATATCCTTGCTCGACTTTAGCATTCTTTTCTTGTTTACTTGTTGCTTTTGTGGGTGTGGGCATTGAGCAAATACCCCCAGTTAGTAATTATGTGTGCGTATGCCAAGTTTCATCATGATAGACCGATTTAACAAGAAGGTATAGCCATAAATATATTTGCTGCTGCAGCGCTGCTCAAGCGCTGCCCACGGCACGAATAGACGCGCATAAACATACATACACTCACATAGACGCAATTGCTTTGTATAGGTGCAATTATACACCCTTTACGTGAGTTCGAATACCAAGAGAGGTAAAATCGATCAAAAATGTTTTTTTAATTCTCTTACTTTTTATACTCTGTACATGAAATGTACAGAAGTATATTAGGTTTGCGGGAGCTGAAAAATGTAACAGGCAGAAGGAGGCGTGGCAGACCCCACTAAGTATATATATTCTTGATCAGCATGACGAGACGAGTCGATCTAGCCCTGTCTGTCTGTCTGTCCGTCTGTCAGTCTGTCCGTCCGTATGAACACCTGGATCTCAGAGACCATAAGAGATAGAGACACCAAATTTTGCACAAAGATGCGTTATGTGTGTATTCTATACGAGTTTGTTTTATTTTTTTGATTTTCCCCCCCACTTCCCCCCTATGGGGGTTTTCCAGATTTTCCATTCGTATAATCGCCTATATCTCGGAGACTATAAGACCTAGGAACACAAAATTTTAGTCCCAGATGCCTTATGTGAATACGCAGAAAATGTATATTTTGGAATTTCCCTCCCTCCCCCCTCTACCCCGCTGCTCAAGCGCTGCATGCGGCTGTTGTTGATGTTGCTGTTTGGTTGACTGCGAAAATGCTTACACAGACACGAATAGATGCGCATAGGCATACATACACTCACACAGACGCAATTGCTATATAAATGTGCAATTATACACCCTTTACGTGAGTTCGAATACCGAGAAAGGTAAAATCGATCATTGAATTTTTTTTTATTTTCTTAATTTTTTTTATTTTCTATAATTATTGTAAACATATGTACAGAGTATTTCAAAGTCGGGACACCCGACTTTAGCTTTTTTAATTAAATATAAAATATTCAATACATGTATACATACATTTAAATCAGAATCGTGTCTATGCGTGTGTGTGAACTTGTACATATGTATGTGTGCATTACATAATTATGTCAAAGCAGCAACAACAGCAGCTGCAGACAGAGCTTTGGCGTTGTTGTATGGCTATAACTTTATTTCTAATCAACCTAACATAATGCAACTTGGAATACAGATATATATTCACTAACTGGATGTGACTACCAAATTTTAGTTTAAAATTCCAAGAATAACGGAAGTTATAGAAAATCGAGAATAGGGGGGAAGTGGGAACGGGAAAAATGAAAAAACTTGCCGTTTCTCGGGCGTAGGAGAATCTGGATACCAAGTTTGGTTATTCTAGCTCTTATACTTTTTAAGATCCTTGCGTTCACACAGACAGACAGACGGACCGACAGACGGATATGGCTATATCGACTCGTCTTGTCACCCTGATCAAGAATATATATACTTTCTCTCCTTCTATGTATTACATACATTTGAACAAAACTAGTATGTATACCCTTTAACCCTTTGGGTACACGGTATAAAAATTAACAAGTGGAGAAGCTAAAGTCGGGTATCCCGACTTTGTTTGTGTGGTCCTGTGTGTGTCTCGTATGCCTGTACAAAGCATCAACAACAACAACAGCTGCGGGCAGTGCTTGGACAAGATGACATAAATGGCTATAACTTCCTGTTAAATCGTCTTATCATAATGAAACTTTCATTATAGTGATTGCGGGGCGAAGGGGGGAGGGAGGGAAATTCCGAAATGCACATTTTCTGCATTTTGCAATAAATCAAACTTGCGCAGCGTATACACGTAAGGCATATTTGTGCAAAATTTTGTGTCTCTACCTCTTATAGTCTCTGAGGTCCAGGTGTTCATACGTACAGACAGACAGACAGGGCTAGATCGACTCGTCTTGTCATGCTGATCAAGAGTATACTTGTACTATATTTACTTTGTGGGGTCTACCAAGCCTCATTCTACCTGTTACATTTTTCAGCTCGCGCAAACCTAATATACTCTAGTACATTTCATATATTCATGCACTCCTCTCAATCTGTTATTCTGCAAACTAGTCTATCTGCCATCATTAACCACTCGTTTAGTTTAATAATGATGTGTTAATTGTAATGAAAGTTAATGCTCTGCCAGCAGTTGTTATTGTTGTTATTGCTTCGTCTCAACTTATGTAGTGCATATGTGTATGCTATTTAAGTGTATGCTATTTAAAGTGTACATATGTATTTAAACATATGTCTCATGCGTTGAATAGTTCTATACCCTGTACCCAAAGGGTTAAAGCGTATACTAGTTTTGTGCGAATATATGTAACACACAGAAGGAGGCGTGGCAGACTCCTAAAAGTTGCTCAAAGTTGGTCAAAGTTCACTCAAGTCATTAGTTAATTATTATGAAATAGAGAGCAGTTTGCAGGAAATTATTATTACTACTGATTAAAATATAATTTATATACGAACTTGTGGGCATATAGCTGCACACGCAAGGCACTGAGGAATACAAGCGTGTTGGCTGATGCTTTCATGGACAGATTGGATGCTCTAAAGCGAGGAGGCGAGGCTGACCAGGATGTGGACGTGGCTGGATAGTATGCGACACCGCTACGATTCATATGAAGCGACTCCGTTGAGGTGCTTGGTGATGGCGTCAAAGATGCTGACGCTGAGCTGTTTTTCCCTGTACACCGTTTGCTGTTATTCTCATTATTGATTAAGTTGGTTTGTGACACACCCTTGATTATCAGCGCCAACTCATCATTTGTCATGCAACTGGTGCAATCGGGTATCTCTTTTTTCTTCTGATCCTTGCTTACTCCTTTCTTCGCTGTCGTAGTAGGGCTCAATTTCGCTGATGATTTTCTTCCGTAGTGAGCCTGGATGGCTCGCTCGTACTCAAAGTTACGCAGCTGCTGATTATTGAAGTCATCATTGTTTTTATTGGTGTAGACGTGTTTCTCTTGCAGTTTTTGAGTAATAACATTGCCCAGCGAGCTGGACAATTTCTCGAGACACTTGTTAAAGAGCATTTCCCACAATTAATTTTTGTGTGTTTCAAATCATTGGAGTAGAAATTTGTTTTCACTTTTGTAACAAGTTTTACCAATTCACACTGTGACGTTCAAGGTTTATGTGAGGAAAACAAAAAATTAACAACAGAAATCATTTTTTTAAAAACTTCGCTTTCAAGAGTTGCGTTTGTGGCGGTTTTTGTTGTTTTTATATATTACGAATAATATTTACTGTTTTTTTGTACGCAGATCTACAAACACTATTTTTATTTATTTCTTTTTTGCACTAAAAACAAATTACACTACTAATATGTTTATTTATGTACTCATACATAATTAAAAATGCGTAAGTGCATATTATATTTACATCAGTACGTACATGTTCGAGCGTGTCTTTACATACAATATTTATATACATATGTTGTACAAACTTAGTTCCGATTAACTTTATAAACTACAATTCTTTTCGTTGCCTTCGCCGTTGTTTCCTTTTCTTTGGCGACCGCGCTTATTGTTGCTGCAACTGCTTCGTCGAGTCGTGCTTGTGCCGCAATCAAATGCTCAAAAACAAATGTGGCTGAAGGCATTATTCGTTGTTTTTGTATATATACTGTGTTATATCATATATTATTATCAATGCTATATTATATTTATATTGCCGTTTGATTTTTTTTTTTTTTGCAAATCGCTATAAACCTTAACACGCACAAAATATACACGAAGTAGCAAAAAATAATGTTGGCACTGCTCGACTTAATGCTGCACTGCTTTCCACTGGCACTAAAGCGTCGTGCGTTTACTCCGTTGCTACGCCGCCGAGCCGCAACTCGAGAATAATGCCGGGTGCGTCAGATACCAGAATTTTTACTGAACTTAAACACTGGCTCTGATTTCGTCGGAACCTCTGCCACTGTCACTGCTTCGCGTTTGTTGTCGTAATTTGCATTACTCACTGCCGCCAGCTGCTGCTCTGGGTTCTAAGCGCTCAGACTGTGTGCTCGTGAATGAATGAGTGCTCTGTAGATGGGAGCTCCTCTTTTTGTTTCAAATTGAGGCACGGCATGATATTACAACACGGCTTCACCTGTAGCCTTTGACGTCATCGACCGCTTCCCTTGTTGTCGTCATCATCGTAATCTCGCCTCTTGCCACTGTCTTAATAATTAATAATTAGTCGCTTGAATAGCAGCAGCGTCCAAGATAGTACCAACCCAAGTCAAATGCATACATACGATTATCGTGCAACAGCCGCCCTCTCCTTTACAGAGGTCTAAAAAACCAATGTGCACTGCAGCCCTTGGTAGCTTATCGCATTACTATACAAACATGAACAGGAAAATCGTATGAAAATCTTGAATATCCTGTACCTACCCTTTCCTCGCTACAGAAATTCAACTAAACTTTATTGTTCAAAGGCAGTTAAGTGGTATAGTGAACCGACTCGGATCAAATTATATAGTGAAGCGCTATAATAATCCATATACTATTTGGTCGAAATCGCTTATAACGACCTATCGCACAGTCAAAATCGTCAAGATCAACAACAGAATTTGGTATGTATCCATTTAAGGAGGTTTTACGTCAGCTGACCAGATCGCACCTATATATTATATAGCTTCCATATAACCGACCAACAACGGTCGACAGCCAGAAATACTTCCAGCAGAAACTTTGGTCGCAGCTTTGTAAAAATGTAATATGTAATAAATCTGAATATGGTCATATGGTTTTTAATTCAAGGCAATTAAACATATTTAATGAAAATGGAGAATTTAAAGAAATGAACAAATCAAAAACAGATTTAAGTAATACTCGTATTGATTTATGCTTGTATGGTAATGTAATATAATGTGCAGGCTTTATTTTCAAATCTGTCTTTTTTGTGTTCGTATTTGAGCGTTTTCAGCATTTGAACCATTTTCCGAACACCAGATGTCATATATGTACATAAGAGTTCGAGAAAGTTCGCAAGGATAAGGTGTTCCTACAAAAATATAATAACAACTTTAACAAAAAACAAGATAGAACGGGTTCTCGGACTTAGGAGATTGTGGATACCAAGCTTGGTTATTGTAGCTCTTATACTTTCTGAGATCCTTGCGTTCATACAGACGGACATAGCTATATCGACTCGGCTTGTCATCCTGATCAATAATACTATATATATATTTGGTGGGTCTGTCAGGCATCCTTCTGCCTGTTACATATATTTGCACTGAACTAGTATACCTTTCACCCTTTGGGTACAGGATATAAAAACATAACAAGAGAGAACGCTACAGTCGAGCAAGCCCGATAGTAAAATAGCCTGTACTCTCCACAAAACAGGAAAATTAAAAAAAAAATTAAATTATTAAAAAAATGAATTAATTAATTAAGTAATTAAAGTAAATTAGAACACATGTTTTTGTTCAGTTTTAACAGCATACATTTACATGCCTATTCGTGTTTATATGCGTGTATGTATGCAGCACAAAGTTGAACCAAAGCAGTAACAACAACAGCTGCGGACAGCGCTGCCGGCAGAACTGCAGGCAGCGCATGAGCAGCGATTTTACTTATGGCTATAACTTTCTTCAGAATTGACCTATCATGATGAAGCACACACATGGCTCACGGACACATTAGTACTAGCTGGATGTACCTACAAAATTCCAAGAACTACGGAATTTATAAACAAAAACACGAATTGCGGGGGAGTGTGGGGGTGTGTCAGAATAAAAAAATAAACTTGACCTGCCTAGGACTTAGGGGAACCTCGATACCAAGTTTGGTAATTCTAGCTCTAGTACTTCCTGAGATCCTTGCGCTCATACAGACGGACGGACAGACAGACGTGGCTATATCGACTCGGCTTGTTACCCTGATCAAGAATATATATACTTTGTGGGGTCTGACACGCCTCCTTCTGTGTGTTACATACATGCGCACAAAACTAGTATAGCCTTTGGGTACAGGCTATAAAAAGTATAATGTACCAAAATTTCGTGTGAGACAGTGATTAAAACTAAATAAATAAAAAACTACTAAATATTTTTTCATCAAAAAAAAAAACATTATTAAGATACATCAATGCCTAACATTTTAAAATTAATCGGATTACGATATGTATGTATTTCTTCTACTTTCGCTGAAATCAGTGTTTGAACTGTTCGTCGAGAAAGCGACTTCTGCTTTTGTGCGAAAGCCTTGGTTTTTTTTAATTATCTGGAAAACTAACCAATCCCCGGAACCCAACTTAGCAAAAACAATAGAGCTAGTCAAGAGCTATAACCTTGTCCTTTTCTGAAAACAAAATTATGTTTTAGCATATGTTTTTATACCCTGTAACTAAATAACTATTATTTTAACTATGTATTTGCTCCTAAATATACATATATGTATGTATAGCAACATTGTTTTTTGTTGCATGTGGACGATTTAAAATTGTGTATGTACATACATATCAAACATAAGCTATACATACATATATATATATATATATATATATATATATATATATATATATATATATATATATATATATATATATATATATATATATATATATATACATATACACACATAACTATGTATGTGGGCATTATCATGCGAAGTAAATATTTTATATACTATAAGCGTGCTTGTAAGTGCGACCTAAGCCAGGAAACCGGAAATAAAATCAAAATCAACAATGTGAGCAATGCTTTGTTTTTGGAGTCTTTTCGCCGTTTACAAGTGCAGGCGAGATAACGATAGAGGCTGTATGTGTTGCTGTCGCCGGCACGCATTTACTGGCGCAAACATCAGACGTCAGAGCAAACGTGTGCTGCATAATTGGTAAAAATTTTGTCGCACTGGAGATCTTATGATGACGTGCTCCAGTGCCTAGAGACGTGAAATGGATTGAGGAACAGAAAGACGTGATATACTGCGACTCTTTGAGGGGGATTGCTGGCTATGACAAATATGTATGTATGTATATTGTACTACAAATTGTTGGCGACTCAAACAAACGACGTAACAAACGAAACTGAAAACAAGAAAGGAATGCTAAAGTCGAGCAGGCTCAACTCTTAAATACCCTGTACCACCCCACAAAAAAATAATTTAATTTAATTAATTAATTAGTGAGGGGTGTGCATCGGGAAAATGAACAAACTCGTCCTTTCTCGGGCTCAGGAGAATCTGTATACCAAGTTTGGTTATTCTACTCTTATACCTTTTGAGATCCTTGCGTTCATACAGACAGACGGACGGACGGACATGGCTATATCGACTCGGTTTGTCATGCTGATCAAGAATATATATACTTCGTGGGGTCTGCCACGCCTCCTTCTGTGTGTTCCATGTACACTCGCACAAAACTAATATACCCTTGTACCCTTTGGGTACAGGGTATAACAATGACTACGTATGAGTTATACAATTTTGGTAAAACACAAGTAAAAAGCTAAAGTCGGGTGTCCCGACTTTGAAATACTCTATACATATGTTGGCATATTTGGCATACTGACACATATTCATTAACTGGGAGTTTTTGCAAAATTGAGTTCGAAATTCCAAGAACTACGGGAGTTATGGAAGATCACTAATTGTGGTGGAGAGGGGGGGATAGAGGGAAATTCCAAAATACACATTTTCTGCACAATCATAAAAGGCATCTTGGACCCAAATTTGGTGCTCCTAGGTCTTATAGTGAAACTTGGTATATGTACATACTAGCAGGTATTGCACGTCTTAACCCGGCTCAATATAATGTTTCCAATGTATTTATTTTGTGTGTACATAACCTACCCATATGTTTTCACCTTATAAGTTACCAGTAGGAAGGCATTTAAGGTATTTAAATGAACATTTTATGTTCTTGACAAACAATTGTTCAGTATTCCGTTACATTTTTATACCCTGTACCCGTAGGGTAAAAAGGGTATATTAGGTTTGTGCAAAGTATGTAACATACATATATTCTTGATCAGCATGACGAGAGAAATCGATCTAGACATGTCCGTCCGTCTGTCCGTCCGTCTGGATGAACG